GTTGGAAATGTCTAACTAGAAGCTAAAATCAGTTAAAAGATGGTAAAAGTTGGAAAAGGTTAACTAGAAGCTAAAATCAGCAAAAAGCTAATTAAATGAAAAAATAGAAAAAGGCTAACTAGAAGCTAAAATCAGCAAAAGGCTAACTAGTTGTAAAATAGAAAAAGGCTAACTAGAAGCTAAAATCAGCAAAAAGCTAACTAGATGGTAAAAGTTGGAAAAGGCTAACTAGAAGCTAAAATCAGCTAAAGGCTAACTACATGATAAAAGTTGGAAAAGGCTACCTAGAAGCTAAAATCAGCAAAAGGCTAAATAGATGAAAAACAGAAAAAGGCTATTAGAAGCTAAAATCAGCTAAAGGCTAACTAGATGGTAAAAGTTGGAAAAGGCTAACTAGAAGCTAAAATCAGCTAAAAGTTAGCTAGATAGTAAAAGTTGGAAAAGTCTAACTAGAAGCTAAAATCAGCAAAAGGCTTTTAGTAAGAAGCTAAAATTAGGAACAGGCTAGCTAACATCTAGCTCAGAGATAACCTGTGAGTCAGGGAAACGTTTAATGGATATAAAATAAATTTAAACTGTAACAGCTAAAGTCAGTGTTTGTAAATCTGCTGACAGGTTTAAATCTCTGTGAAACATCAAGCTGCTCCTGCAGATCTACGAGCCTCAGATTTGCAGGAGGAGCTTTTGGTCCTGCAGTCCGAGGGGCAAAAACCACGAGATGCATTTTAAATCTGCGGCTGATTGCTTTTCTAATGTGCCCAGAGAAATGTATGTAGTGTTTACTGAGCAGCTGAGCGTGTGCTGCAGCTGAATGGCCCCAGGATTATGGAGGGAAAAGGGCTATTTTTTAATCACAAACAGGTCTTAAACRGCTCAGGAAGGAGCGAAGGCCTGAGAGTCTCCACCGGGTCGCTCCTCTGAATGTTTAATGACTCAGCTGAACTTACTGGAACCATTTAGCTCCTTTTTCTTTTTTATTTATTTATTCAGCCTGAAAACCTTCACTAAAATCTGTAAATCAATCTCTTTGACTTTAAAAACTTCTTGTTCATCCTTATGTTTTAGTACAGTTTTCTGTCAGAGATGTAATAATCAGCCTTTCAGGTGTTTCTGACACTGAGGCTGATGAAGAGCCGTCCTCTTCATCACCAATCAGGASACGCTCTGAGCGCTCTCATCACAGCCTCTCAGGCTGCCGTCCACTTGGCTGGAGGGCCGACGTGAAGACGGGGACGAGAGGCGGAGCTGAAAGGGGTCCTTGTTGGGTCTGAGAGGATCTGAACCAGGACCAGACTCTGCCTGGAGAAGCCTGCGTTTGTYCCACGTCGATTAAAAAGACGTCACTTAAATAGATCTTAAGTAAAATCATGTCTGAAGTCGTCGGATCAGCTTCTCTGGATTCATCTGCAAAAATAAAAATCAACAAAAATCAAATCAAAACCAACTAAAATCCCAAGATTCTGCAGAGAGAAGAGGACAAACGCTGCTTTTTATTTATTTTTATTATATAAGCTCGATGTTTGTGTTGCAGCGTTAAAATAAGTGTTGTTTTCTGCAGGGACCTCCAGGAGCCGCCGGAGCAGAGGGCAGGCAAGGAGAGAAGGGCGCCAAGGTAACAGAACCCGGTCACGCTTCACACACAAGGATCCTCCGAGCCGTCCGTCCCAATTATAAAAAACTTGCTTTATTTTCATGACCGATTATTTTTAAACTAATGGATGCAGCCRAGAAYCCGCAGGAGGACCAGCAAATTAACAAAGCATGTAAAATTCATGGAGAATGGAAAAAAAAACATGTTTGAATGTTGGCAGTTTTTATAATTAAACCAAACTACAGCTGAAACTGTGTTCAGAGCAGAAACTAATCCCAGAGGAGCAGAAACACCAGGGTTCCAAATGTTCCAACACTTTATTTGAATTATTTACTCAGGTTTTTATTTTTTTAATTCAATTCATGAGCTGAAACTTAAACCCTCAGTTAAAAGTCAGCAAGAAAKCTCAGAATTCTGCTGCGTTCAATCCGGGCTCAGAAGTTTATAATCTGAGATTCTGGAACTATTTAAGGCTTTTTTCATCCAAAACATCATTAGATATTTTATTGACAGAACACAACACAAACAGAAAATACTCWCCACTGATTTAATGATTAATCAATAATAATGACGAGACAAGCATGAATGACTAAAGCTGGGAGATTTTTTTGCCAAAAAAACTAAAAAGATTTACAAAAATGTTGAAATTTGTTGTAAAAAACGCTGAAATTAGCAGAAACGTATCTAAAAAAGTAGCTGAAAAAGCTTAATCTAGCACAAAAAAGCTGAAACAGCATACTGAATTAAGCAGTAAGAAGCTAAAATTATCACAAAGATTAAATTAGCTGAAAATGCACACATTAGCTGAAAATAGCTAAAACAAGTATCTTAGATTGAGGAAAACAGCTGGATTTAGCAAAACAGCTGAAATAAATGTAAATTAGCAGAAAGAATCTGATAGAACCACAAAATATTTTAAAAAGATTTTAAAAAATGTCTAAAAAGCAGAAGCACCTAAAATTACTTATTTTAAAAAGAAGCTGAAATTATCACAAAACTTGCTGAAAAAGGCTAAACAAGTGGCTTAAATTGCAGAAATCAGCAGAAAGTTTCTGAAAAAAACTTAAGCAACTTCAATTAACAGACTGAAATGAGCAGAAAGAGAGCTAAAAACGCAGAAGCAGCTAAAATTAGTTTTTTTGAAAAAGAAGCTGAAATTATCACAAAACCTGCTGAAAAAGGCTGAACAAATAGCTTGCAGAAATCAGCAGAAAGTTTCTGAAAAAAACTTAAATTAGCAGAATAGCTGAAACGAGCAGAAAGATAGCTAAAAAAGCAGAAGCAGCTAAAATTTGTTTTTAGAAAAAGAAGCTGAAATGATCACAAAGAATTTAAACAAGCCGAAGCATCCCGTTAACTCTTCTTAACCCTCCTGCAGGGTGAAGCCGGTGCCGAGGGCCCAGCTGGTAAAACGGGACCTGTTGGCCCTCAGGGACCTCCAGGAAAGCCAGGTCCAGAGGGTCTGCGTGGCATCCCTGGCCCAGTTGTAAGTCTGTTTGCACACACACACAC